TCCTTGGTTATGTACTCCCCTCTCCAGCTAAAAGGAAAGGTTAGCAGGGCAGGCGTGCTGCTGGCTGCACCCAGTTTCCTTAGAGACCCACCCCCAGCCACTCTGTGAACTTCACTATCCATACATTTATTAATACAATACCCATAGAAGGAATACACACACACACTCATGCACACACACACAAATGTGGAACTATGCGCCATAGATGTACACTCTTTTACCTTCCCCCACTCAGGATACAGGTAAGTAAACCAGAACAAAGGGTAAGGGATCAGGCAATATTAAACTCCATTAAAATACCAATTCGCAAACATACAATGCAAAAACACAAAATGCGAGGCTCTGACTCACAAAATATATATGGCGCATGAACGTGCAAATTAACTATTTGAGGGACACCAAGGTCCAGACTGCTCTGGAGACGTGGCTGTGCCCCAGTGACAAGGAGAGGGAGAAGATCCCCAGTGCCCTTCGGCCACACTCGACCCAGGCAGAATATCCCCTGAGGGAGAAAACCTCCAAAACCCAGGCAGTCCAGCCCTTCAGGCTTTCTCTCCAGATGCCAATCTCTTGGAGGGGGATGGGAAGATCCTTCCTCCTCTGTGGGAATCCCCTTCCCCAGTAACTCATGCCTTGGGGGGCCCAGGGGTCCTCCTCTCCCCAGGTGGGTCGCCTCCTCTCTCTCCGAGGCTCCAACTGCCTCAGGCTTTCTCTGGACTGCCGGCCTTCTCAGGGCCCTGTGCACCATCGTGTGCACCAAGGGCTCTGCCTTTATGCTCAGGGTTGGAGACCCAGACCACCTTCTGTGGCTCCAGGATCTCAGTCCGCTCTCACACCCTCCATGCAATGCTTTTGCACTGCTTCCTGGCCTTGTGCCAGGGGTTGCAGACCCAAGCGGCTCCCAGGGTCCCGGTCTCCACCTGCACACGGCGTGTACTGGCTGTGCACCGCTGCCTGACCTCATGCCAAGAGCTGGAGACCCAAGCCGCCTTAGTCACCACCTGGACCTGGCGCACACCATCCATGCCTGGAGTTCCTGGCCTAGTGCCAGGGGTTGGAGACCCAAGCTGCCTCAAGCAGCTCCCAGATGCACCACTTGTGCACCAAGCACCTGGCCTTCAGCCAGGGGTTGGAGACCTAAGATACCTCATGCACCTCCCAGGGTCTCACTCCATGCACTGAGTTGGGCACCAATGCCGTGATTCTCCATGACTGCTCCCACTGCGCAAAGAGGGCTTCAGGCGCTTCACGGCAACAGCTCTGTCCCCCCTGGCCAGCTGTTCTTTGTGCCCGATCTCTTCTTCGGCCCTTGATGCAGTCACCCACATGCAAGGCACACTGCTCTCCTTATACCCTCCACAGGCTCCGCCCCCCAGGTTGCAAATGGACCAATCGGGAAGAGGCAGGGGGTAGTCCCCAACCAGGTCTAGACTCTTCGCCTTGCCCCAGCTAGGGGTGGGGCAAGCCTCCCTCAGTCATCGTCTGATTGGTGGGAATCCTCCTCCAATACCTGGAAACCTTTTCTGAGCCGGCAGCCAGGCTGCTGTGGGCAAGCTAGCCACACTGCTATTATTTCTATGGAGGGGCCTGTATGGGGGAGAATATAACCCCAAATTATTTTTCTTCTAAATTAAAGATGAGCCACACCAGGATCTTGGTATGAGAATTTTTTAAAGGAAGTTCAGTGCTACAGTGTCTGATTCAGGCATGTGTCCGTTATACTAAACTTGTTATCTGTACAGTATCCAAAAGAACTGCATCTTTCATAGTTGAGCCAGTTGTATGCAGCAACGTTACAGCAAGAAGGCTGATAAGGTGCTGTGGAGAAATCATCAGTCATTTGAACCAGAGCAAAACTGTTTGGATCCAGCATTTCCCCCCAGTCTACTTCCTCAACCTGTGGCCGATGCGGGTGTTTTTGATGTCTTTGAGCAATATGCCTTGTAGCGGGCTGATCAGGTTGACTGTACACTTTCACAAAGAGATTTAACAAGCACCTCTGTGGGCTAGTATGGAGGGGGAAGATCGTGCCTTAAGCAGGGGGTTGGACTAGATGACCTCCAAAGGTTTCTCCCAACCCTACTTTTCTATGAGTTTATGATTCTCTAATCCCCAAGCAAACTGTATCTTTCACCTGAGTCTGTACCTATGAAAAGGAAGAGGAGGTAATCAAATGTTGGTTCAGGGGACTTCAATAGGAATACTGAACTACACAGACACAAAACTGAGCAGAAAGGAAGTCATAGCATGCCCCCCGTCCCCGCCCCGCGTGCACACACACACAAACACACGCACACACACACACACACACTTCACCCCTCCACCTTCTGATGCTGAATGACAGAAAGAGAGGAGATAGAGAGATCATCAAAATGGTCATGTTGTCAGGCTAGAAGGTACTAAGCTGTAGACAAAGGAGAAGAGCTCCTGACGGTGACACATACCAACAGTACTCACTGCCCAGGTCACAGGAGCAGCAGTGACTTCCAGTAGGTGCATGGTGCGCATCCTGGACTGGGCTGACATGGACACAGCACGTGGTACATGTCCCAGGACCCCTGCGCTGGATCCAGCATGCAGAGGTGGATGAGCTGGGCACCCCACAGTGAGGACATTCAGAGCTAGTTTGAGTATTTCTGTACATCACTTTTGCACTACATAGATATTCCCTCAATGATACAGTGGACATGTATACACTAGACACTGTGCATTAGCCTAATATGAGTTCTCAGTAGTGTGATATTGCAAAACCCGTGCTAACAGCCTACTGCGCAGTGTTCATCCTCAGTACTCTTCTACTTTTGCAGTATCCTTTAAGAGAGGGAGCGGCCAATGTTTTTGCACAGGATTTCACAGGTGGCTGCACCCTTAACTTATATGAAGGCATGTAATCCTGCGTGTGTTACTCACTGTCCTGTTCTTTATGTTTCTATTTGTACTCCAGCTGCACATTGATAAGAGGCTTCATTCAACTGCCTGCAAGGATATCCATGCACTCTGTTCTACATATGATGACTTGTAGAGGGTGAGCAAATGAGCAAGATTAAACACAAACACTGTTTTAGTGAAACATCTGCCTTGCATCGATAACAGCACATAGCTGAGACAAGGACAGGACTGAGAAATACCTTCATACCCAGGCACCAGAGCCTGAGGCTCCTCGAATTTAGTTGCTACCTAAGCTGTTTTTGTCTAGGAGCTTTGGAGGGATGAGGAGCTGACTCTAGGGTGTCCCCCTCCAATTAGGGAAGCTCTAGATGGGACCCAGAAGAGATACTGCATGGAGGACTCCAGCCTTAGACCGGTAGGACTTTGTGGGCAGGGACGTACAGGGACAGGATCATGGCTCTGCCCCAGTGCCAGCCCCGCCGTTTCCCTGTCCTACTATCCTAGGTCCAGCCTTGACCCCCCGCCGCCCCCTCCCTTCTATCCCACTTCTGGATGCTGCTCCCTACCTGCCTGCAGCCCACTCGACTGAGCACACCTTGCCCGCAGAGGTCCCAGCTGCTCTCTAGGGAGACCCCATCTGCCCGCTCCATCCAGTGCCCCCAGCACTGGGCACAGAGCAGATGAGCCAGCAGGCCAGGGCAACAGGGTGGGGCTGACAGCACCGGGGAAAGCCCCGGGAGGTGGCGGCGGGAAGAAGCCGCTGCCACGGCTGCTCGAAAGAGGAGTCCGACTACTACACCATCCCCATCCCATTGAGCGCCTGGGGGCAGCGGGGCCGGCCGATCACATCATGGCCCAAGCTGCCCCCCACATCTGGGTTTTCACAGTCCGACAGCAAAGAATAGCCTGTCTGCATCTGCTTTATAACCACCATTCAGGTTATCAAATCCCATCTCAATCTTCTTTTCTCCCAGCTAAATAATCCTAGCTCTTTAGGATTTTCCTCATAAATCATGCTTCCCAAGCCTCTGGTACTTTTTGTTGCGCTCCACGAGACTCCTTCTCATCTATCCAGGTCTGTCTTGACCTGCAGGGCCCAACACTGGTCACAGTGCTCCAGGTGAGGCTGCACCAGGGCTGAATAGAGTGTAAGGGTCAGTTCCCTCGATTAAAAACCATCACTCCTGTTAACACAACCCACAATGCTGCTGGCTTTTTTTCCAAGAACAAAATATTGGTTCATACTCAGCCAATCCCCAGGTCCTTCTCTGAAGTACTACAGCCCAGACAATCATTCCCCAGTCTGGATTTGTGAATGAAATGATTCTGTCCCAAGTGCAGATCTTTGCATTTTTCCTTCTTGAATTTAATTTGATTGATTTCAGGCTATTTCTCCTTTTTATCCTGATCATTCCGAATTGCAGCTTTATTCCCCAGTGTCCACTACTGCACCTAGCTTGATATCATCTGCAAATCTGCTAAGTGTATGCTCGATCCCACCCTCCAGATCATTACTGAAGGTACTAAACAATATCATACCTCGCAGAAACTTCAATCAATACCTCCTGCCAACTAGACATTAAGCCATTGATGGCTCCTCGCAGAGCAGTGTTCCAGCCAGTTATGGATCTACTTTACAATACTTTCATTTACCCTGTTTCTATATAGCTCATTCCACCACAAACTTCCTCCTGGTCTGGTGGTCTATAGCAGACCCCCACTGCAACATCACCCTTGTTGCTCCCACCTCCATAATTCTATGTTGGACCCTGACCCCTTTCCATGGCTCTCCCCCACCTCATTCCTACATTTCATAGATTTCATAGACATCAGCAGCTGGAAGAGACCTCATGAGAACATCGGGTCCAGCCCCTTCCCCAAAGGGCAGGAAGTCAGCTCGGGGCAGGTGACCCCAGCAAAATAGATATCCAAATGCATCCTGAACATGTCCACAGTAGGTGCAGAGGATATTTAAGCATTAAGGACAGAAAACTGAAATAGTCCAGACCCCTCGTCTTGGCACTTTTCTGTGTGGGAGATGCAGGTTTGAATCCCCTTGCATGTGGAAGTAATTGTATTCAGGCACCGCGGTCTGGGAAGTGCTCTACTCAATGGGCTATTACACAATTGCCACCATCAGCTTAAAAAAACCTGCCCGCTGGATTGACCCAAAAGGTACTCTGGAGACCAAGGGACACCTCCAGTTCCACCAGGCCCACAAGGGAGGCCTTCAAGAAGCCCTCCAGTAAGCTAAATATGAATACAATTAAATCTTAAGAAGTAAACTTAACAATAGAGCACTGCGAACAGATAAGGAATAAGACATTCAAGTGATGAATAACAGAAGTTCAAATTTATGAAGTGCAATACTAGTGAAGTTAGCACATAAAAATGAAATGTATAATTTCTAAGTCCTGAAATCCTAAGAATCACCAAAAGGTAGCCAGCCTGTTAGGATAACCTTAAGAGATTAACTTGTGAAGATGCAAAGCTCCCAGAGCGTGTGGAGATGGCAACCTCACAAAAGACCACTCCAGGGGTTAACAACTCCCTGTTATTATCAGGGTATCGCTAACATGAAGCCATAGTAATACTAATATGGTAAGTGGGATATCTAAACATAGATCGAATAGTATCATTTGTGGTCAGACTAGCTCAGAGATGAAAAATCCTCTATTTCTAAAATTATCCCCACTTAGGGCCTGATTCTACGATTCTCCCATCCCTTTAAATTGCTTCTTAACCAAGTTTATGCTAGATTGACCTCCCTTACTCTTACCACTCATCCTTATTACTCCCAAAGTTTGCAGCTGATCCATGAGCGGTCTATGGGACTGGCCTACTAGAGGCCAGAAATGCCTATAACACGTCATGTCTGAAGCAAGAGTACTAGATTTGTGCACGTCTTTTTGCCTCAGACCAGCACAGCTATCAAATACATCCCTAATGTCCAGAGAGAAGCAGGAGTTCAGAAACACCCCTAGACTCAGCAGTTCCTACTAGCTGGCTCTACGTATCTTCCTCCAAAACATGCGGGGTTTTCAAAATCATCCTGTGGGGGTATCTTGCTCTCCTCATTGACTGTATCCTAGGACTAAGCATGTAACCCCATTTATTTGAATCACCTCACTGTGACCAGTTGCCAGAGGTACCTCTCTGAAGTTCAAGATTGACCTCTGCCCTGCAAAAAGCTTCTAAAGGGCAAGAACAAAAGGTGATCTGGACAGGATTTGGCATCATTCTGCCATGAACCAAAGCCATCCTCAAAAACGACCTTACCACAGCTCTGTACACAGTCATTACAATGGAAATGCAAATGTCCATGAGCAATACTGATACTAAGTAAACTAATGCTCCACACATTTACATTCCTATGTAAAAACCTACTTCATGAGAAGAAACGCGCGTCTGATGCTTTTATTTGCTGGACTGCATAAAGCCAGGGTTTCTATACATGCAATACAGACCAAAGGGCAGTGCATCCGCCAACCCCATTCCAGCAGCGCAGCGTTGCGCGCCGACTTGTTTTTTCAGAAGAGATTTTCTGAACATGTTCTGAGATGGAAGGTAACAGAGGCAACTTTTCAGAAGGCAATATCTGGGAGCCAGATATCTCTGTCGTAATAACTCTACTCTTTGAGACTTTTCTCGGGATCTCACTAAATGCTTTCATTATAGCTGTGAACTGCATTGATTGGGTCAAAAAGAGACGCCTTTCCACAAGTGCATTCTCATTTTCAGCAGGATTTGCCTATTGTTCACAGAAGATGCAGAGATCGTTTCTTCAACATTTAATCCTTCGTTTTATAACAGCAAGTCCGGATACTTCATGTTTGCCGGTCTGGCTTGGTTCCTGAGCACATCCAACCTGTTCTTCGCTGCCTGCTTATCTGTTTATTACTGTGTGAAAATTGCAAACTTCAGCTGCTGTTTCTTCATCACGCTGAAACGAAAAATCTCCCAGTTCATGCCATGGTTGCTGCTGGTCTCAGTGATGATTTCCTTACTCAGCAGCCTCCCTACCTTCGTGGCCATTTATAACATCTCAGATAATAGCTGCAACTCCAGCTGCTCACAAAACCACACAGGAGACAATGTCACACAAGACAGAATTCTTTTGGACACGAATATTGTCGTTTGCTTTGGCTTTTCTATAGGTTTCACCATATTATGCATCTCAGCTGTTCTCTTACTCTTCTCACTCTGGAGACACATTCGACATGTGCAAGGGAGCTCAGCTGGTGCCGGGAAGCCTAGCATGGAAGCACATGTGAAAGCAGTGAAAATGGTAATGTGGCTCTTATTCATCAATGTTATTCACTTCCTAGTTTGGTTAAGCAGCATTACATTTGCAGTTTCAGCAACTATTTTTGTGCAACATTTTCTTCTTCAGGTTACAATTTTTGGTCCATTGATCCATGCTCTTGTACTGATTCTCAGCATTCCCAAATTGAAACAGGCACTGGCCAGGATCCTGCACTATGTAAAGTGCAAGGGCTGTGCAAAAGAGGGAATACCTTAAAACCTTCCTCGGTCCCTCGGATGGAGACCATGAGACCCAAACGCTTTTATAAAAAAAGAATCATTTAACATAGAAGACAAATGTCCTGCTAATGCAAAAGGGCACGGAGCTTTTAGACTTTCATCTACACTTAAGAGAAGATTCAGACAAATTAAATGAGCTACACTGGAAGATATATATATGACACCCTCGTTTACATCCTCATTCTTGTACGTCTGTGAACACGTGCCTTAGTCTGCTCTTTTGAAAGCCTCATATCTCCATGGAGAAAGCCAGAAAATAGACTTAAACTCTCAGGATACAAAGTTCTGTCTGCCGTAATGTAATCTGAAAGCATTTTGTATTGCCAGAGGGACATGGAGACGTTTGTGAGTGCTTCACACAGCCAGTTTTTCACATTTCACCATCTCTGCAAGACTGCACGTCACAAGTGAAATATCCAGCAAGGTGTTTTATGGCACAATCAGATGAACATCCCAGAGAAGAGATGGCAGTCTCACTTCCCCGAGGCAATTCAACATGATCTGGACTCTCCCCTAGAAAATCATAGCAAACAACTAATCATTGAGACGCGATAGAGCACAGCATGATACGCAAAGGAAATTAGTCAAGGCACCGCCGAGCATTTGGTAAGTGCAGTGGACACTTACATAAAATCAGAGAATCATAGAAAACGAGGGCTGGAAGGGACCTCAGGAGGTCACATCTAGTCCAACCTCCCGCTCAAAACAGGACCAGCCCCAGCTAGACCATCCCAGCCACGGCTTTATCAAGCTGAGCCTTAAAAACCTCCAAGGATGGAGATTCAAACACCTCTTTAGGTAACGCGTTCCAATTCTTCATCACCCTTTCCCTGGGAAAGCTTTTCCTAATATCCAACCTAAACTTCCCCTGCCGCAATGTGAGACCATTGCTCCTCGTTCTTGCATCTGCCACCACTAAAAACAGTCCAGCTCCATGCCCTTTGAAACCACCCTTTACATAGCTAAAGCTGTTATCAAATCCCCACCTCAGGCTTCTCTTCTCCAGACTAAACAAGCCCAGTTCCTCAGCTTCTCCTCATAAGTCAAATGCCCCAGCCAGCTAACCATTTCAGTTAGCCTCTGCTGGACTCTCCCCAACTTGTCCACATCCATTCTTTATTGCGGAGCCCAAAACTGGACACAGTGCTCCGGATGTGGCCTCACCAGTGCAGAGTAAGAGGGAAAAATCACTTCCCTTGATCTGCTGGCAACACTCCTATTAAAGCAGTGCTGTTAGCCTTCTTGGCACCAAGGGCACGCTGTCGGCTCACATTCAGTTTGTTGTCCACTGTAACCCCCTGGACTTTTTCTGCAGAGCGGCTGCTTAGCCAGTCCCATGTCTGTACTGCTCCATGGGACTCTTCCATCTTAAGTGCAGGACCTTGCACTTGTCCTTGTTGAACGACATGAGATTTCTTTTGGCCCAATCCTCCAATTTGTCTCGGTCACCCTGAATCCCAGCCCTACCCTCCAGTGTATCTGCTACTCCCCCAGCTCGGTGTCATCCACAAACCTGCTGAGGGTACAATTCATCCCATCTTCCTCTCTTCTTCCATGCCATCTTCCAGACAATGAACGAAAATATTGAACATAATTCCCTGCTGATTTGTCCACTTGTCTAACTAGCAGGAAGAGCCATGTGTTGTATTCCCAAGCCAGCCTGAGCAAATTCAGGTCCCCATTTCTCACTCCCCGGAGAGAGACTTCACCAATAGGCTAGGGACTGTGGCTTGAAAAGATGTATCTCTTCTTCCATGCCATCTTCCAGACAATGAACGAAAATATTGAACATAATTCCCTGCTGATTTGTCCACTTGTCTAACTAGCAGGAAGAGCCATGTGTTGTATTCCCAAGCCAGCCTGAGCAAATTCAGGTCCCCATTTCTCACTCCCCGGAGAGAGACTTCACCAATAGGCTAGGGACTGTGGCTTGAAAAGATGTATCACAAAGGGCTTCTTCCTTGATATTCGGTGCTATGTCAGCATGCATAGCATCTATGTCTGTCTCAGCGGCACCTAAACATTGGCATCGGAAAAGTCATCTTAGAATCGAAGCCCCCTTTTGAATACAGTATTACATCTATGTCTGTCTCAGCGGCACCTAAACATTGGCATCGGAAAAGTCATCTTAGAATTGAAGCCCCCTTTTGAATACAGTTTTACCTCCTAAGTTCAGCCCGTTTGAATACAGTTTAAACTCCTAAGTTCAGCCCTTCGAAGCATGTGTGTGACTCCCATTGACAGAAATCTGCCTAAAGGAGCAGAATTTCACTCTAATTGTTTTTGTTAACCATGTTCCTGTGATCCCATTATAAGTCTGTATAACCATATAAATGTCACAGCCCTTTCTGTGAGACGCAAGGATTTCTTGGTTTCCAACCCACTATTGCAGCAACTAAATGCTCAGGATAGAGTTAAACAAGTTTTTGAATGCAAGGTGTGCTAGTTTCTCATGTAGTCTTGTAGTTTCTTGTTCCTATGTGTTCCACAGTTAAAGGTATGTCTGCATTAATTCATACAAAAAGGCATTGAGGTTCTCAAGTTAGTCCAGCAGGAACTAGCTCAAGTAGTGAGAGACGTGCATCTCTGCCATGGCTCATTAATTCTGCTTAGAAACAGAATATATTGCTCTATGCATCCTGTATACTGTTAAGGAAATATATAACCTTCGATAGGGTCCTCACAAGTAAATTTGAGAAAATAAAATGCACTTGTCTAGGCAATGCCAACAAAAAACAGAACTTGGCAAGGTAGAAAAATCTCTGACTTTTGACTTGTGACTTTTTAGTTGTGATCTATTTTGCAAGTTGCTTTGGTGGATTTTATGCCAAGAACAGCACAGGGGGATTAACACCTAGCGGTGGTAAACCTGTTCTGCAAGCCAAGGCTTTTCTAAGAAGGAAGCCAGATCGGTGCTAAATGGACTCAGAAAGTTCTGGGAATATGTGGCTTAAGTAAAAATAGTGTGTGGGTTTGTGTGAGATAACATAGTTTGAATCTATGTTGCAAAACCTCTCCAATAAAAGATTGTTTCTCTGTATATGTATAGTGATTATTAGCATTATTTGTATGGAGGGGCCTGTACAGGGGAGCATGTTACCACAAATTATTTTCTCCTAAATTACAGATAAGACAAAAAACACATAAACATAAAATTCAACAACACCAAATACGAGGCTCTGACTCACAAAATATATAATGCATGAAGGTGCAAATTAACTCTTTGAGGGACACCAAGGTCCAGACTGCTCTGGAGACGTGGCTGTGCCCCAGTGCCAAGGAGAGGGAGAAGATCCCCAGTGCCCTTCGGCCACACTCGACCCAGGCAGAATATCTCCTGAGGGAGAAATCCTCCAAAACCCAGGCAGTCCAGCCCTTCAGGCTTTCTCTCCAGAGGCCAGTCTCTCAGAGCGGGGCGGGGAAGATCCCTCCTCCTCTGTGGGAATCCCCTTCCCCAGTAATTCATGCCTCCATGGCACTGGGGGTCCTCCTCTCCCCAGGTGGGTCACCTCCTCTCTCACCGAGGCTCCAGCTGCCTTGGGCTCTCTCTGGGCTGCCAGCCTGCTCAGGGCTCTGTTAACCATCGCGTGCACCAAGGGCTCTTCCCTTTTGCTCGGGTTTCACAGGCCGCCTTGTGTGGCTCAAGGATCTCGGTCCCTTCCCAGACCCTCCATGCAATGCTTTTGCACTGCTTCCTGGCCCTGTGCTATTGGTTGGAGACCCGAGCAGCTCCCAGGGTCTCAGTCGCCTCCTGGACCCAGTGTGAACTAGCTGTGTACCGCTGCCTGGCCTCATGCCAAGAGCTGGAGACCCAAGCCACCTCAAGCAACTCCCAAGGACTCAGTCACCTTCTGGACCTGGCACGCACCGTCCATGCCTGGAGTTCCTGGCCTCGTGCCCGGGGTTGGAGACCCAAGCCACCTCAAGCAGCTCCCAGGGTCTCACTCCATGCACTGCTTGTGCACCGAGTGCCTGGCCTGAGGCCGGGGGTTGGAGACCTGAGATACCTCATGCACCTCCCGGGGTCTCACCCCGTGCACTGATTTGTGCACTGACACCGTGCTCCTCAGTGACAGGGCGAAAGACACGGCCACTCACTGCTCCCACTGCGCAAAGAGGGTGTCAGGCGCTTCAGGGCAACAGCTCTGCCCCCGCCGGCCAGCTGTTCTTATTGCCTGATCTCTTCTCCGGCGCCTGTTGCAGCCGCCCATGTACAAGGCATGCTGCTCTTCTTACACCCTCCACGGGCTCCGCCCCCTGGATTACAAATGGACCAATCAGGAATAGGCAGAAGGTAGTCCCCAACCAGGTCTGAACTCTTGTCCTCACGTCAGGTATGGGAGGGGCAAGCCTCTCCCAGCCATCGTCTGATTGGTAGGAATCCTCCCCCAATCATTGGAAGTCTATAGCAGACCCACACCACGACATCACGCTTGTTGCTCTCACCTCTATGATTCTATGTTGGACCCTGACCCTTCTCCATGGCTCTCCCCCCCCTCACACCTTTCCTACATTTCATAGATTTCATAGACATTAGCGGCTAGGAGGGATCTCATGAGAATATCAGGTCCAGCCCCTTCCCCAAAGGGCAGGAAGTCAGCTCGGGGCAGATGACCCCAGCAAGATAGACATCCAAATACTTTCTGAACATGTCCAAAGTAGGTGCAGAGGACATTTAAGCATTCAGGACAGAAAACAAAAATAGTCCAGACCCCTGGTCTGGGCACCCTTCTGGGTGGGAGATGCAAGTTTGAATCCCCTCGCATGTGGAGGGAATTGAATGTAGGCACCGCGGTCTTGGAAGTGCTCTACTCAGTGGGCTATTATACAACTGCCACCATCAGCTTAAAAAAACCCGAGCACTGTATTGATCCAAGAGGTAGTCTGGGGACCAAGCGAGGCCTCCAGTTCCCCCACCCCGCAAGGGAGGCCTTCAAGAAGCCCTCCAGTAAGCTAAATGACTGAATAAAATTAAAT